CATTGACAAATATCACACAGACGAAATTTACGGAGGACATTGCGGCCAAAAGAAAGTTTTTGCCAAACTGAAAGATCAGTTTTACTGGCGAAACATGTCCAAAGATATTGCGAAATTCGTTAAAAACTGCGAAACGTGCAGATTATCGAATCCAAAGAGAAAGACAAAAGAAAGGATGACGTTGACAAAAACACCTTGCAAACCGTTTGATATCGTACAAATCGACACAATCGGTCCAATGCAAAAATCAAACCAGGATAATATTTACGCTGTTACACTAATAGACGAAATGTCTAAATGGTTAACAATAATACCCGTAAAAACGAAAACTGCACTGGAAATAGCAAATGCTATTTTCAGAAAACACATACTTCTATACGGTCCCATGAAACTGCTAAAATCAGACAGGGGTACCGAATATGTCAACGAAATAATCGCGAAATTATGCGAATTATTAAAAATCAGCCACAACACGTCCACTGCCTATCATCATGAAACAGTTGGGCAAGTTGAATGAAGTCATAGAACTTTAAATGAGTACTTAAGAAAGTATCTCAATGGGAAACTCGACGAATGGGACACATTCGCAGAGTACTTCCAATTGCTATATAACATAACCAAAAATACGACACTTAACGACACCTACAGTCCTTTCGAAATCGTGTACGCAAGAAAAGCGAACATGCCACATGAAATTTTCAACGGAGACGTAGACAAAAACTACAACATTGACGACTACGTGAAACAGACAAAAATAAAATTACAGACAATATACCAAGAGACAATAGCATTGATTGACAAAATGAAAAAAGGAAACAAAAACAGACTAGACAAAATAGCAAATCCGATCAAACTTAAACCCGGTGACATTATCAAAATTCAGAAAGAACCATATGAAAAATTTCGTTTCATATACGACGGTCCATACATAGTTGATAGCATACAGGGAAATAATGTATCTTTTAAATTAGACTCAGGAAAAACTCAAACTGTTCACAAAAACAGGGTAACTAAATACTAATACATACAACAAAAAACCAAAATAATAGCTGGAATACAAAAAAACAAAAATAATAAAACAAAGCAATTTAAAGTAAATGGACTCATGTCACAATTTTTTCTTAAAAAGGGGGAAAAGAGATCAAAGATAAAAAAAAAACAAAAAATGTAATTTCAAATTAAAATACAAAACACTTAACAAAACCATTTTCCAAATTCCATATTGTAAATTTCAATACTTTAGAACAATATCAAAAATTGTAACAGACTCCATTCCAAGGGTGGAGATGTAACGGTACGATCGTTGCATGATCGTGCGAAGTAAAGAATACGAAGTAAAGAATAAATCAGTCTTGTATCAGAACTCATACGCTTCAGTCGCACGATTCATTACATTCCTTTACAGCGGACCTGCCGCATGAACAAGTGATAAGTATTTCAATATATATATAGTTCAATTATATCTTATACCGGCACTGGAAACGGTCCACAATTGTAGAACTCGACTTGAACGAGGTGTGTTCTTCTTTGGAAACGGTAATCTCGTTTGTTTACCAACTACACACGGTTCACAAAAATTGTCCTTCGTTTTGACGTTCAACTTTTCCATGCCATGAACCATTTTTCGTTTATCACATCGCGGCTCTTTATTGACTACAAAGGAGCCATGTTCGGTGAAATAAAAAATTAAAAGTCTTTGGTTTTAACTAAGAAAAAAAATCTAGAAAAGAAGGAATGAGATTGATGTACAGCAAAATTGCTCGGCACAACAAAAGACGCGATACCAATAAAACAAAAGACCGGCATTTATTGTATTACGTGCAAAATATGCAACAAACAATACATCGGAGAAACAACGAGAGCGCTAGGCACCAGGTTCAAAGAGTACGAATACTGCGTTAAGTACAAACACATGCAATCTTCAGTAGCCAAACACGTCTACGATATCAATTTTGACGCACCGCATCAAATCGGCTCTTTCGAAGAGAGCTGCACACTTTTGAAGAATGTCACCGACTTCAGAAAAATTGATGCTTACAAGTCGTTATACATACACAAGCATAAACAACGGTAACATTGAATCTCACTTGTTCAAATTCGCAAAATAGCTAATTTCCTTGTATTTGTTTTATTTTGTTTTTACTTCGATCTCTCTCTTACTTTCTTGTAAACTGTTTATCTCGCCTCACCGATACTCTTACATGTAAACGAAATACTGTTTTGTATTGATTTTATTTAGTCATTTAGTCGCTCTGCTGATGATGGGACGTCACACGTCTCGAAATGCATACGATAACGTATTTTGAAATTAAGCAGTAAATGAATTTAGTTAAAACCAAAGACTTTTAATTTTTTATTTCACTGAACATGACTCCTTTGTAGTCAATAAAGAGCTGCGATGTGATAAACAATAAAACGGATTACATACGTAATCCAAACTTTTCCGCTCCGCAGCAATTTAGTTTACCTCCCGCTTAATGTTTAACCAAAATTTCAATAGAACCTTTTTTCATAGCATTTTTGACCTTAAAATATAACTATTTCGACCATTTTCCATACAAAAGTGTCATTTTCGAACAAAATTTCAAAAATTTCAAGAAATGTTGATTTCGGACCAGATTTATGGGCAAGTAGGTGTTCGGTTGTTTGAAGGCACCAATTATTTTGGCAAAAAAATATCAGTTTGCTTTGACCAAAACCCTAAAAAATGGCTTTCTGAGTGATTTTTTATACAAAAGTCTA